TTGTTCTGAAACTATTGTCGCTCTTGGTTTGTTAAAGACAACATCCCATTCTTTCATGACATAACATTCTGGGCAGAGTCGACATAAATGACTAAACGTTTCAAATTCTCGACTGCTTTGTTATAGTCTCTAAATGGACACATATTTCTGAAGGCTTGGAAGTCATAAAAATCTGAAACGTCTATTCTGTACATTTTTTTATAAAAATAAAAAAAATATTTTTTTTTATTCTTGAGCTATTTGTTGTTCTTGACTTTGTTGTTGCATTTGTTCCATTTGTTGCATTTGTTGTTCTTGAGCTATTTGTTGTTGAAGTTGTTCTTGTAGTACAATACTTTCACCAGTTGCATCTTCCAATTCGAAACTTTCTGCCGTCATTGACAAATACATAGGACATAAAAGTTTTACAGGAACAAAGTTTGCGTCAACTAAGGTTAAGTTTATGTTTGCTAAAGTGTTTGAGTTTACTAAAGCTGAAAACTCTGCATTCGAATGAACAATAGGCAAACCAGCAGAGAAAGTGTTGTTTATACGCATGAGTATCTTTTGGTCATAGTAGTTTCTGTCGACATTCGAATAACACTTTGAACCTAAGTTTGAAACAATATATAAGATTGGTGTACTTAAAGTCAATGGAACAGACATTCCTTGTATGACACCTTTTCCTGTTATAGGAAACTGTTGGTAGTAAAAACCAGATATAAGTTTTGTATTATAGCTCATATCGTTTATACTAAACCCAGTCGGACATCCAAACATAATGAAACCTGCTCTAGTTGCAGCACATGTTACATCCGTCCTTAAAGTATTAAATAAGTCAACAAAACCTGTTGGTGGTATATCTGAGTAAGTATCTTCAAAGGAGTATTTTTACCATTCACAACAATAAAATCTTCTGGTGTCAAAAGAGCAAAAACAGGCTTTAGTCGTCATCGTGTTTAAGGTCAGTTTACAATATCGTCCTTGAGGACTTTGTAAGTTTGTTGTTATAGAATTATATGACTCAGGGTTTTTAGTCGTAATAGTATAAACCACTATGTCTTCTGCCATTTACTTAGCAAACAAACTTTAATGAAATGTTGTGGTCGTCAAATATTTTTATGACGTCTGGGAAACTATATTTTAAGTTCAACGTTTCACCTCCTTTCATAACGTATATCTTGTCAATGACATTATATGAAACACCACAGCAAGCAATGTCGGGTTCTATTTCTTTGATGTTTATATCGTCTGCCTCTGTCAAAAGTTTCAATAGTTCTTTCAAAACTTCATGAGGTGCAATGACATATGAGTTCACTTTTACAGGGTTGTGCTCAACCAAGTTTAACATTATACCCAAAGCTTGACAAATCTTCTCCTGAGTTTGAAGTTTGTCTTTAAGTTGTTGGTAGTCGTTTCGAATATCTGCAACAGAACTTAAGTCTCTGCTAACTTCAGGATATGTTGGTTGTTCTTTTACAGGAACTATTGTTATACCATCTTCGTCTTCGTATGGTTTCCCCACTTCAACATCTCTGTCTTTGACATTGACAACAACACTTTGACTGTTTGTTTGAGTTGGTGAATTTAACTTCACATCTGCCATCGCCATTAAACCTTTTGAAACACTTACGCTTCTATTTTTCGGAAATGACATTTTACTTAGAATAAAAAGATGGACGTATTTGAGTATCTCTTCGAATTGAAGCAGAACAAAGTTTACACACACAAACAATACAAGTTCATTGACAGAGTAGTTCTTTACACAAACAATGGAAAATGTTATAGAATAGCAGTCTTTGCTGAACCAAAATATTTTCATAAAGCAAAGAAAGTTGGTATAACCGAGATGGTGAAAGTTCTTGAAGCAGACAAAAATATAACAACAAACTGACCGATATTTCTAAAGGTAAGTTTATAATACAATACTATGTCAAACTGGCGTACTGTCAATATTTGACGGAGAGAAGTCAGTTCAAGAACAACTTACTGACCTGCTGCCAAAATCTGCTCGATGGAAGCTGTCGTTATACCAATCTGAGGAGCCCCAGCAGGTTTCATCGAACGAATTTTCAAAGAGCATCTTCGTGAAAGTGCTATTGGTTTTGTAAACTTCTTTGCTTTCAATTCATCTGGACCGTCTCTGTCACCAGTATATTGTATTTGAACTGTACCAACAGTTGAAATACCACCCATAAAGTCTTCTGAGTCAGCAAATGGAATGCCAAGCCAAAAGTTTGAACGGTCTCCATTTGTATATTGAGTTTTTTGAGCTCCTGCATGAGTCCATACTTTCACATATGGCATAATAGAACTTTGCATTTCAGGGTTAATGGTTGTTGTGAAGTTGTTGTTAAAGTTCATAGCATCTAATGTCAAGTTGTATGACCTCATATCCTCAACTGTGGAATATTCTTCTCTTGGATAGTATTTGCCATCTATGTTTATATGATATTTAATACCGGGGTTGTAGAAACAAGAATAGTCATTTATAGTTCGTCTGAACAGTACAAACATAGTATCTGCATGTTTCATTGCAGTTGTTAAGGCAATATCTGTTCTTGCACCTGGGTCAGCACTTTGGTTTCCAACTTCACCTGCAAAGTCTTTGACAGATATTTGGTGTATAGGGAACATAAGTGGAACTGCAATATATTTGGCAGCTAAAGCATTTGAAATATCTGGGTCCAACATATAGACTGCAAGTCTGCTTTCTATTCTCTTGCATTCAAATTTTTCGCATGTGAACTTAACTGGGTCCCAAGCAGTTCCAGCAGCATTGAAGTAGTAGTTTACTTCAGTGTTGAGGTTTGAGAAACCAAAGTCTAAGTCAACTTTTTCTTTGCAAAATTCGGCGAATGACGTTTGATTTGCTCCCTTTACGTCTGTAAGAGTGAATGGGTCTTGTGTTGGTGCAATGACTAAGTTATTTTTGCTTGGAGTAAGTTCGATAGAAATTTTTCCTGCCCAGTTTGGCAAGTATCTTAAAAACCTGAAGATGAGGAAAGATGACAAAGGAACTCTAAGTTTCAATTTTACTTTGGTTACTGCTGCTGCAGTTTGTCCAGAAAGGTCAACATAAACTCCTGGAACGTTAGGGTCAAGTCTTCTTATTTCTCAATAGTTGCATACTGGTCTGTTTGTTCTCTAGCTTGTGGTTGTACTGAGTTTCTCAAAGCGAACCATTCATAGTTTGCCCATGTTACTGTTTGAACTAAGTCAGAGTTAGAATATATCTTATATCCCATGAAAACTTCTGGAGCATATTGGTATCCGACATAGAAAATTCCATTGCAACCTTTCTTGTCAGACAACTTGGCAGAAGGTTTTATTTCAATGTCTTGTTCCACGTATAAGAATGAGTTGTCAATAGAAATTATATGAAACCTGTCGCAAGCAATATCTACTGTTGTTGAAGAACCTTCTCCAAACTCACCTACGTTTCCATAAGAAACAGCAGTTGTATATTCGTAAGTTCCAGGAACTATTTCTGACCTTCTAATGGCATTGTCGCATTCGTTATACCATTCGGAAACATTTCCATTCATGGCATCCAAAACTGTTGGCGTTATATTCTGAGCGGCGTACATTTCATATGGGTAAAAATATAGAATAGTTGGATTTATGTGCCATAATAGAACCCACGTGGACCAAGCTTTACTTTCTTCCTGACTGAGTTTTTAACTCTTCTTTTTCCTTCATTGCCACTACTTTCACTAGATGAAGTTACTTCTTCACTACTTTCACTTTGTTCTACTCTTCTCTTCTTTTTGGTGTCGCTTTTGGTAACTTGCCCTCTGCTTCAAGTTGTTGCATCTTTGCCTCATGTTCACCTAGTATGTTGTAAATTTCCCATGTCCTTTTTGCCTTTGGCTCTGGTCGCCCATCTCAGGTAACCAATATCCTAGAAAGAGTTTGTCATAGTTTGTATTTGAGTCTTCGCGTATTGTTTGCATGACTCTTTCCTGAGTTTCCGGTTCAAGCTCTTCAAACAGTGCCTGTCCATATGGAATAAGCTCGTTTCCAAATATATGTTTTTGTAGCCATTCTGGTTTTCTTTCCATGTTACCAACTATATCTTTTGTGAATGGGAAAGCTTTTACCCAATCTTTCAGTCTTGCGTCGTTTATTTCTGTAGTTGGTTTTATTTTGTCAAGGAACATGTTTTTCAATACTAACATTTCATTTGGTACTGTCCATTTGAGTTTACTTAAATATTCATCCCTTCTCGGTTCATTGTCTGCAAAGTAAGTTTTTATGACATTTTGCAAACTTTCGTTTGCAAGGTCATGTACAATAGGTTCTCTTCCTTCTGTCTCCCTAACTCTCTTTCTAAACTCTTCACCAAATATACCATCTCTATGGTTCTGTGTAGTTCTTTGAGATAAATGTTCTAGAACGTCAGGTGTTATATTTCCATCAGCCATGTTCATTTCATACTGGTCCAAAATATCTGCATGTTTCATATCTTTCAATGGCATTAAAGCCGCGCTTAAAATACCAGCTATATCTCGTTCACCATTGACTTCCATTGCGTCTACAACTTCTTGGAATTGTGGTTGTAAGTTTATGAACCACCTATCCGGATTAGCTTTATGACCCCATCTCATTGTAGTTCCATAGTCTGCAGAAACAAAAGTAGGTTTGTTTCCATCTTGGCTAGGTTCTGAATGAACTTTAAACAATGTTTCATTTCTATATGTTTTGTTGAAATTTAACCTTTTATTTTCACCGAGTTCATCCAAAGATTGAACGTTAAATGCTCGTAAGTAAAAAGGGTTGTTGTATTTGCGTACATTTTCTTTCAATACTTCCATTCTATGCTGAATATTTTCATCTGGTGTTGGAGTCTTTTGTATGTCGGCAAACATTTTTCGATATTCTTCTACTATGTCAGCCGAATTTTTTTTAGACTCTTGGAAATATTCCATATTCTCCGCATACTCTTGTTGAGGGTCAAGATTTTTCGGCTGTTCCAAATCTTCATCTAGTTCTGTGAAGTTAGTTTCCAAAGGAGTGACTTGTTCGTTTCCTTCAGGCTCTTCTAGCTGTTGTTGCTGAACTATTTCTTCCATGTCTGGTTGTATCTGAACTAGTTCTTCCTGTGGAGTTTCTTGTACCTCATCTGCTGGCATTTCATATATTCCGAGACCGTTTTTAAAAAGTTCCCTTTCTAAGTCATCCGGACTCATAAACCTTTCTTCTTTCGTTCCGTCTCTATTTTTTACGCGTTTCATGAAGAGAGTTAAATTGTCATTTAGCTCTGACATCAAATATCTCGGAGTAAATTCGTTCATGTCATTTGGATGATATGCTATTAAATCATATCCCTTAGCGAGCTTGTATTTTCCAGGTTTGAGATTATATCCCCTTTGGTGCAGAGCCATAAAGCTAAATAGGTTCGGGTCAGTATTTCCATCCTTGAACTTTCTAATAGCTTCTTTATATCTGTCACTAAAGTCAATACTATCTGGGTAACCATACTCTTCTTTAAGCATTTTTAAGAATTCTTGGTTTCCTTGTTCTCTACTTCTTTTATGTCCTTGCTCTGTTTGTGGTTGTTGTTGTTGTGCAGGGTTTTGAACTGTTGGTTGTTGTGTTGGTTTTGGTGCATGCCTGTGTCTGTGTCCATGTGACGATGTAAATGTTTTAGGTAGTCCTGGTGCAGGTGCTTCTCTTGGAGGGTTTGGTGGTATATAAGTTCCACCAGCTGGCACATATGTTCCATCTGCAGCGTAATGTCCTACCTGACTTTTCGTTCTTAAGAAAGCATTTACTAGGTCTGTTTTGGTCTGTTGTAACTCTTTTTCTTGACTTTCCACAACAGTTGCTCTAACGGCGTCATAGGCACTTTGAACTGCCTGTCTCGTTGCTGCATCTGTTATTTTCGTCATATTTTGTGCTACTTCTTTTAACTCTTTGTCGAAACCTTCAGACTTCAGTTTCTTTCCAGATGAGAAGTCGTTCACTTGTTTCACCTTACTATGAAGAGCTTCGAAAGCGTTCTTAAAGTCAGCATTCGTTAAAGCTTCATTTGAACTGTCTTCATCCGCTTGTATTTTTGTCCTTATTGACCCTATGAGTTGGGCTGCTTTAGCGTTGGCTTGGGCATCTAACCAGTCATTGTTAGCTTTTATATATTCTGCGCTTTTCATTGCCTTTTGCATGGCTGCGTCGTTATTTTTACTTTCTTGTGCTAAGTTTTCATACTGTACGGTTTGGTTTTGCAACTGTAAAAGTTTTTCTGCCTTTACATTTGCTTCAACTTCTTTTTTATACTCATCGCTATCCATATATGTCTTCAGGGCTTTTTGTTTTATCTCTTCATCTTTCAGTACTTTATATCGAGTAGTATGGTTTTTCAAATTTACAACATCTTGTTCCATTTTTGCTACTTCTGCTGCTTTTTCTGACACTTTTTTCGCATATTCCTCTGTACTTAGTTCTTTCAGTTGTTCTTCTTTCTTCTTTTTCTCTACGTTTAACTCATTGAGTTTCTTTGTGTGTCTGTCATATTCTAGTTTCTTTTCGTTTTCACTTATTTGCTTCTGTATGTCTATGTTTGACTTTTTGACATCTGTTATTTGATTTTTGAGTGAACTCAAATTCATTTGACTTTGAGGGTTATATGCTGTTCCGTCTGCAGCTCCACCATAGCCTGCCATTTTCGCTAAAAGTGCCGCTCTTAAACCTCCACTCTGTGCACCAACAACTCGGTTTAAAAGCATAGGATTGTTTGACATTTGTTGCAACATAGTGGGGTCATTCAGCATTTGTTGTTGCAACTGTTGTTGTGGTGTTAGTCTTACTATTGGATGTTTCAATGCTCTCTTCCTCTTACGTATATTCTTACGTAGCTTACGTGGCATTTTAAGTGAAGTTAAAAAGCGGTTTTATACTAAACATCTTCGGGGCTAGAGGGCACGAAGTGCCTGGAAGCCCCAATACCTTTTTTTTTTTTTTTTTTTTTTTTTTATTCAGATTCTACGTTGATAATAATGCTTATAGAACCCTCTTGCTATTGTGTCAAAATTGCGAAACCGATAGCAAAAATATCTCGCAATATCAAAATTGAGATATTGAGTGAATTATGCATTATAGAGATTAAAAATCTGATTTGTGAAAACATCTCATCAGTTTCTAGCTAATTCAAAAATCTTTACTATCTTATTCGATTAAAATGAAAAGGGAATAGTTTCATTATGCTTTAAATGACAGCCTTATAATATAATCATAGTTTTCGCTCAATATGCAGCATTTTTTTTTCGAAATCTATGGTCAATGTCCTAAATACTGATTGCTTTGCATTCATATCTCTTACATTTTCTATACCCACATCACTATTCATTGCTATTCCTATCTTTTTCATTTTTGTTTGTTTCTCATAATTTCTCAAAAAACATGATAACTTGATATTTGTAAATATCATACTTTATAACGTAAATAAGAACTTGACCTATTAAGAAAAGCAGTAATGAAAAGAAAATCTGAAATTCATAAAAATTACAAGTTTCTGATGACAATTAGCTTAATTAAACCAGGTACAAGATTATATAATTGTATTTTCTATCCAATTATCCATATAATATCTTATCCAGAAAAAATAACTTGATCAATACCAAATGATTTTTTAACTAGTAAATAAAGTATTTTCTTTACACACACATTGTATATCATAGTTTTTTTTTTGGTTTCGCAAAACATCCAAAAACAAATATGCTATAAAAGTGACAATTTTAGCAAAACGAAACCCTTAATGAAATAAACAAATATTAAAATTATTTTTTGATAACAAGAAAATTCCCAACAGAAAATATTTGAGACAAAGAAAAAAAGAAAATTGAAAAATATTACTCTCCTTTATATTTCATGAGATTTTAAATTTATTCTCATAAAATTGACAATTTTATACGTTTAGATGAAAATAATTGATTTTGCTTGAAATAAAAATTATTGTTTGCATACAGCTATCAAATAGATTTTTGCTATTTTGATTAAAATTTGTTAATCAAATTAATAAATTTTTTGTAAATATCTTAAATATCTGGATCACTCACTGATACAATGAATTGAGCGATAAAAATAATACAAACTCAACTAAGTTTCCTGTCTTTCAACTAAAAAAAATTATGCAAATTAAATTAAATTGTTTATTCAAATATTAAACAAAGATGAAGTAATTACAGTTATCATAAACTTTATGAATAACTCTGTAATTGGTTCAGATTTTCGTAAAAATATTTTTATTAATATCGATAAGAATACGTTTACCTACTATCACAACATATCGATAAACAAGAGTAGAGTGATTTTTATCATCGAAACTTTTTAAAAGCTGTAAGCTGGAAGGAAAAATCTTGTTTTTTCTGAGTTAGTTGTAGAACTATTGATGCACGAGTTATCATTGTGATGTAGAAGGATGTCAATGTACTGACTGAAGGATATGAAGTGAATTGAATTTCATTGAATTTCAATTTGATCAAAATTTGTTGAAATGATATGAATGTGTCAACATCTGTATCACTCTCTTTCACTCCTTCCCTATTCTTTCGAGAACGAAGCTAGCTCGGCTTTCGCTGAGCGAATTGACACTTTTGATGCCCTAAACGTGTATGCTCTCAAATTTATCGAAAAAAATTATACCACCTAAACTAGTATATTCTTATTTTAAATATGATATTATCCTTAGAATACACACTAGAATATATTTAAATCAACTTTTAAAAAAGTTCGAATCCTGCGCGTCTCACTTTTTAAATTTTCCAAAAGGAAAATTATATTCTCCTAAAATGAAAACAATTTTCCGAATTGACATCCTTAAAATAATCGAAATATGAAAGAAATAAAACTTAATAAAAAATGAACGTTTATAATTTTTCATTATGGATTATCCAACTCCAACTACTGATTTCCTTGATGGATCAACACATGATCACTTAATGTTACGGTTCCACATATGATTTAGATCATTCTCCTTAATATTTATCGAAGAAAAACGCCAAATAATGAAATTTATTTGGTTTATGCCCGCTGAAGTCAATTTAGACAGATTACAGTCCAAAGGATCCAGTAAAAATCACAATATTTTTACACATGGCCTTAATGAAAGCCAACAAGAATAAAATTCTTGCAAATTATTCAAAGAATTGTAAGTTTCATTGGCAAAAATGAATAAAGATATTGCTTATATACTATTTTAATTTACTAGCAATGATTTTTTGAGTCTTATTAAGTTTTTTTAAAAAATTAAAATATCTAAATTTACATATTTTTAAGTTTTTGTTTTGAATGCACTGCCCAAATATACTCAATGTAAGGATACTATTTATATTAATATTGGCTTCTAAATATCAAGGTTTACACCTTTTTGCCCCGTTTATACCTTTTTCTCCCGAATATATATATAAGCATCTCAAAATCTATTCATTTAATATTTTGTTTTTGGATATTTCGAACTGCTTGACAACACCACATGATATCGATCCTCTTCAGATCTAAGCATTTTTCTCGTTCTCTGACCAGTTGAGAAAAATTAATTATGGTATATAATTATTTCTTTCAATAGAAACGATTCATAGATACTTTCGATTGCTTGTTGTTGGCAAAATACCACGACCGAGTTCCATTGTGTCAGAATATGACCATAAATATTCAGGCAAAATTTGATTTCTGACATTCAAAAGATCAAAGATTAAAAACCATATGTGAACTAGTAAAATGCTAGATTTTGTTCAAGTTATATCAAAAAATGTAATTCTCGACTTTATTCAACAAATTGGTGAATTTGTTTCTTCTCAGGCAAACAGAAGATTGTTCTGATAATCGCTAACGCCACCAGCAAGAAAGAACATGGAGGACATATGCATTAGGGCATTTTTGCTCTAGTTTTGACAAAAATAAGTTGAGTGCATTTTTTTTTCAAATTCTAAAAAAACGATAGGATGGCATTTTTGACAAATTAATTAAATGTTCACCATAATTCTATCTTTAGAGGATGACAATATTTGGAATAGTTACTTCAAAAGTCAATTTACAGGAAGAAATCAAATCATGCCAAAACTGCAATCTACCAGCAGGTAAAGGTCAATATTACTTAGATGAGTGCAATTTTTTTGATGATAACGACCGAGTTATTAACTTTGATCCAGTTAAAAACTCATTGTTCCTACATAATCGGTGTTCTTTTAGTAATTGCACTTCAACATCAAGTGGAAGTTGCATTTACTTCAAAATTGGTAGTAATAGTTCGATTGTTCAACGAAAATTCTGTTGTACAAAATGCCAAAGTAAAGAAGGACAAGGAGCACATTTTTCATATACATATGTTGACACAGATAACTTAAACTTTTTTATTGAAAGTTCCCTTTTCGATGTAGGAAAAGAAAGTGTTGGTTGTTCTATTTATGCAGATAGTGATAATATTGTAGTTTCATCAACAAATTTCTCATCATGTAAAGGTTTAGCTGGACCTGCTGGTTGGATTAACAATCCTTTAGGTAAATACACAACAAAATATAACTATACAACTGTTGTTAATAATTTAGCAACAAATCAATTTATTCTAAATATTTGGTATAACTCGTTGATTGATTCATGTAATATTATAAATAATACCAAAACAACATCAGATCAAGGAATTATTGCTCATTGGTTTTATTCTCTTACTGTAAAAAGTTGTTCTTTTATTAACAACACTGTTCCTGAAGGTAAATATTTGATATATAACTTTTTTGATCAATTAACAGTTGATAGTTGTTACATTGACAATTCGATTTCATCAACATTTCTTAGTAATGTAGTACCTAAAAATACAAGAGAACTATTCACTAACAAATTGATTCATCTTTCAACTGGTAATTGCCAAGCAGAATTTGCAATTATCAAAAAAACCAAATGCATTGAATATTTCTCTCACCAATTCCCACGTCGTCATTGATTAAAATTGTTAATTAATTATTTATCTTGAATAAAATTACTTTTATTTATATAGAAACTTTCTAAAATATCCGTATTCTGTGTTCTGTAAAAAATTCAATGATGACAGAATTTATTACATTTCCATATGGATAAATGAATGTAATCAAATCCTACTCAAAAATTAGCATGGAATATGATAATATTGATTATTTATTTATTTTTTGTCTGGTGAAAAGTCTCGCACTTCACAATCTCATAATTTGATTATATTTAACATAACTATTAGTTGTTGTTGTATAGAGTTCTTGATTGTAACATCAACAAAACTTGGAAGATGGAAGTCAATGTCATTCGAATCTAAATATTCATGAATATATGTAATATACCTCTTGATTGTAATATCAACAACACTTGAAATATTGTTCTTTAATCAATGATTTATTACATTATCATCTTACTTTTTTTATACTTCTAAAACATAAAATTCATTATTTATGAGATAATTAATAAAATAAAAAACAAAATAACTTTATTTATTTAGATTCTTTTGGGATGACGAAGCGTGGACATAAGTTGTTGATAGACTTTAACCAGAATTCTGAGAATTTCTGTGTTTCTTCTTTCATGAAATTGATATATGTTTCAAATGATGTAACACGTGACTTCATTTCACGTTGATATTCCTCAAATGAGCGATTCCTTTCAACAATAACGCCGCGATGCATAGATGTGTCAATAGATGTAATAATAGGCATCATTGCGGATTCAACAGACTTGATTGCATCTGATTTCTTTGGTTTCTTAACTGTTTTCCTTCCTGAATTCTTCTCTTTCGTTTGTTGATCTTGACTTTCTGTTTGACTGGTCATAGAAGACAATGGTTCCATTGTTAAAGGTAATGTTGGCCATTGCCGGACATGGAATGGTCTGTCTTGGTCATCTGGTAATTGCATGGACTTCCTTTCTTTGTCTTTAATCAATGATTTCAATGTCCTGCGTTCTTCATTGGCAACTGGACCTGGAATCAAATCTTCTAATAATGGGAATTTATCAAACAATGACATCAATGAAGATGTGATTAATGGTAAATGTGATGTGAACATGTTCATTACGTTCTTCTCTGTTTCGATAATAGAGTTCTCGTAGTTTTGGATAACGGTTAATTCATTCTTACGTCGTTCTTCTTCTGAATTATACAATTTCTTTAATTCGGAAATGTTGTTTGAATCGGATAATTTAGGACTCAATGCTTTGACGTTTTGATCGCGTTGTGTTCTTAATTCTTTCATTTTATTGTTGAATTCGTCTTTGTTGTCAACAGTCAATAATTCGATTTTATCCGCATAATACTTAACAACACAATCATATATTAAAACTGTGGCTTCTCGTAATAATGGAAGAGATTGTGAAACTTGTGTTCTGTATTTCAAACCGGAACTGGAAAAGATTTGTTCTTTGTTCTCAATCTGTTTATTCCAGACTTGTTTTACATTATCAATGCACTCATTTTGGTTTGGTTTGATCTCGTTGACTCGGCAAATGTTCGACTTATTTGTCTTAAGTTGTGAAAAGTAGTCAGTGATAGTTTTTGTTGATGTTTGAGTCAACGATGATGTGATCTGATCAATCTGGCCTTGCATTGTGCCAAGAGAATCTTGTTCCGGTGCTTTCTTAGATGAAATCTTTGGTTTAGATGTGCTAGGTTTCTTCTGATTTCTTTTGTTTTTCTTGTCTTTATCGTTTTGTTCTTTATCATGATCACTACTAACAACTTGTGTTTCTAAGTCAATGTTGTAACCAATAGGATCATGTGAAATATCGCTTTTCATGATCATCAGGTGCTTGCCGCGTTTGACTAATGCAATACGTAAGCGTTCGATAGATTCAAATTCGCTTAATATCTTTTGTTGTGGATTTTCTTCAGATTGCAATGCTTCACTTAATTGGGAAATCAATGAATCGATTTCTTGTTCTTGTTGTCTGTTCCGGAAACACAATGTGTCGTATTTGGATTTGGCAACATGTTGTTGTGCATTCAATGATTCAATGAATGTAACATCAACTGTATGTTTAGGAACTAATTGTTGGAATTCTTCTGTTAATTGTTGATATTTGTGCTCGATTTCTGTTGACGCATTGTTGATCTTCTCATTCAATGCGTTATAAATATTAGAGACTTGGTTGTTCATCTTATCGAAATAGGCCATTGCGTTCGTCCGTTCATCATTGGAATATGAATCTTGTGCTAAAACAGTTTCGATGAATCGATCATTTAATTGTTTAAATGATGACTCTAAACTTCGAACTAATTCTTTTTCTTTATTCTTCTCTTCTTCGTATTCACTAAGAAAATGGTTTTCCATAATCTTAAATTCTTGTTCAAGCTCAACAAAGTGCTGAACTGAATGAATTTCGGAAATTTTGTTAATTAATGGGCGAAGTTCTTCGATTTTAGAGAACATTGACTGTTTGTACTGTTCAATACTTGGCTCAATGACTTGGAGAGTCTTATTGAAGCTCGCTGCCGAATGATGGAAATGTTTTTCTAATAACATTTTTCGAGATTCAATCTGGAGAACTCTTGTTTTGGCTGTGTTCAATTCTAACTGACTCAAACGAGGTGCATGAGTCCTCATACGCTCATTAAGCTGTTTTGCCCACTTGTTGCGTTCTAATTTGAATTGAACTTTGTAAACAACATCTGAAAATTGGTCATTTATAGAACATATGACTGATTTCCTGAATTCATTAACCCATGAGGAAATTTCGTTGTTTTGAGGAGTATAAATTTCAATAGCAAGATGATCATCAATTTTAGGAATACTTGTTACGAGGTTGAATTCTGGCATATCGTAATCTTCGTTATCTTGAGCTCCTTTCTTACCTTTGTTCTTACTATTTGGAGTTTTCGGAAGTGGCTTTTTCGGCTTAGGAATTGGAGGTTTTCCTTTGCCTTTGCCCTTCTGATTTCCTTGGTTGTTCTGTTCGTCGGAATTTTCGTCGAATTCTGGAATTACAGTAATTGGCTCGATTTCTTCGAATTTGGCTCCGTTGTTTGCTCCGAAAATGAATATATTTAATTTCAAGTCTTTGAGTTTGGGACGTCTAAGGATAGCCGATGACTTTCTTGCTGAATTAATTCTCGAATGAGAATTTGTAGCTTTCACAAAGCTGTCGAATTCAGGGGCATTGACTGTCTTACGGAGTTTCAATATGGTAAGGAGCTCTGTTTCGCCTTCTTCAAAGAGTTTTTTGACTTTTTCGGGTTGTTGGTCATAAATTTCAACAATTTGATCATATGATGATCTGTATTCCTTTTCTATCTGATCTAATATACCTTTGCATACAGTAACTGTATTGTTTATGTCTTTTTCATTAGCTAATAACGAAATTTCAGCTTCTTTCTCTGAAAATTGAGTTTCATACTTTGTTATCTCATCATTTGACTTATTAGTTACTGTTGTAACATTTTTACTCACTTCATCAAAGCAATTCTTTGTTTCATTGATATATTTTTCATATCTTTGAACAATTGGCAATATGAAGCTGTGAAGAGTCTCAAATACTTTACGTAAGACTGTTCTTTTACCATCCCAGAATTTTGTCAATTTTTCAATGAAAATTGAATTTAATTTTTGAGAATGTTTGTGGAGAGGTGTTAATTCTGCAATGGCATTAGCAGCCTCTGCATCTCCTTTCAATTGTTGGAGTTCTTGTTCGACATCTTGCAAGAGATTTGAATTTGTAAGAATATTCGCGTTTAAATGATCAGTAATTTTGGTTGTAAACATATTTATAAAATTATTATGGAATTGTAGCATCTCTTCAGCCTTATCCCACCATTGTTCGACGTCTTTTGAAGTGAATTTATCTGGTGGCATAATAATTGTATAATTTTGAATGATTTTTTGGAAGCAAAGTGTAAATTTCGCTTGTTCTCTGTAGAAATCTTCGAAGATTGTTCCGTATTCTAATTGTTTTAAAGGATCCAACTTATTCTTTGCATCATTAAAAACAGTTTCAAATCTATTTGTTCTCCAATCATCACTTCTCTTAAGAAACTCATCTACATTATCTTGTGAGGATTTCTTTGCTGATTCTATAAAAGAATCAAACATTTTTTTCCATTTGAGTTTTATTTTTGTAAAACATCTCATTAAGAGATTTAATTGCCGTTGGAAGTCTATCAGAGTATTGTGGATCGAGAATTGGAAGCTGATCTTTCAAATCAGCGTAAATTTTGTCGATCATTGGTTGTAATTGATCAAATGACTTTTGATATGCAATCATTGATGATGATTTTAATTCATTTGCATGGTTTAAAATATTTTCTCCGATTTGAATAACTTGCTCTTTCAAATCTTCAAAAGAAACCGATGTAGTTTTCATTGAATCAAGTATATCTTTTAGTTTTGATTCTTCTCCTGCTTTGTAAGCTTGATATTCCTGAATAGATTTTGAAATTTGACTCTTACATTCGTTTGCAAGGGATTGCGCACTTTGTTCAAGAGATGAAATACATTTAAGATACCTATCTGTTAGAGATTTTTGATACTCATCGTAAGTTCCTCCTTCCCTTGAATGAGGAACTTCGATTTTCGACATTTTCTTTCTCTAAACGTGCAAAATCTCGCCCAAACTAAATTAAGCAGGAAAGAAGATATATTGTATATACTATCGATTTGAGTGAGATTTTCATGATAAATCTATCCAAATATTTGCAAATTCAGTAAAAATTTATATCAAATTTGGTCATTAGTAAAAAATCAGTTGAACAAATTATTAAAACACTCTAATATAACTTTTATTATATCCAAATTATATGGTTATTTGAGGGTAGTACTAAGAGATGGCTTCATTGATAGAGTCGTGCCGTTAGATGGAGTTTTACCTGCTTCTGCAGCTTTATCTTTTGATGGAGACTTTGTCATTGATAAACTTAATCCAGCCTTAGGTGCTGTTTGTTTTTCATTTTCAGCTTCCTTCTCTTTCTTCCTTTTCACTGCAGCTTCCTTCTCCTCTTCTTCCTTCTTACGTTTCTCTGCTTCTTTTTGTTCTTTCTCTTTTCTTTCTTTTTCTGTACTTTCTATAAACAATTTACGAGCTTCATCTCTAATTGAATCGTATTTATGATAGGTAGCCTTCTTTTCATTAGCTGGCTGTTTATTACTCTGAGTTTCTGGTACATCAGATATAGTAAGAAGTTCTGAATTGGAAGAGCCGAGATCTGTTCTTTGTCTGTATCCGTATGGAAGTAATGATGGTGGAAGGAAACTTGGCTGGAAAAATCCTTGTTGTCTTCTAGATTTAGGATTATCATCGGCCAATTCATGTTTATCTTCTTGTATAATATCATCCTTCTTGTCTTCTTTAACTTCGGCTGAAATATCGTTCTTTTCATTGAATAATTGAAGATGATTTTTAATGAATTTATCTGGTGAAGGTCTCATTCGAGATTTAATAACTGAGTAAACTAACAGTGCTATTATTACCACTAAAACACTACAAAATACTATATACTGTAATAAAATTTCTTCCTCCATTAATTTATGACGATAATTTTGATTTTGTAAATTCTATTTTGTCTTTTTTGAAACTCATTCCATTAGAAAATATTTATCATCTCAAACATGTATAATTATGATTTTTCCGTTTTCTAGTTAAATATCACATATGATTCATTATTCTCTATTAGATTCGAGCATATAGAATTCACTGATAGTATGCTATTATGTTAAAATCAATATGGTATGTCATATTTGGCACAATACGTATTAATTCTTCATATCTTTATTCAATTTCAAAGCTGTTGATAAATCTCAGGGATAATACATTAAAATATATTAGTGCTTCGCCTAAAGTTTAATATGTTGTTCCAAGTAGGGTGAGCAAGTTGTTCTTAGTCAAATCTTTAGCCGAATACAAATAGTCTTCGATTGGCAATGGTATTCAATAACGCAAAAACGCTCACTATCCTGTTAGTTAAAACTATTCTAGATTTAAGTTCGCAATTGATAATCACCGACCTAATGGGTTTTAACGCTAGTACTTGATGTTCGTATATGAACTGTGGAAATAAAGACGCATTTCTCTTGAGTTTTTGCATCATAAAGAACTAATTTTTACGATCATGTGGGGCCACTCCTTAAAATGATGATGTAATATGATGAAGATGATCATGTGATCTGAATCAGATCAATTGTTAAAATAAACGCATTGATTATTTGAGATTGCATCATTTTCCGGTATCGAAAAAAATCCAATTCAAAAGCTATTGAAACGTGACATATAAAAATCCAATATTTATATCCTAGTTTGAATAACAACTCGATTTCGCTATGTTTGTTCAACCTTTCTCAAAAAATTGTCAATTTTTTGGATAATGGATTACTTAGCGACGTCAAAATTACAGGTCAAAGCTGTCATGCTTGGCGATTCAAGAGTGGGAAAGACTTCGCTTCATAATAGGTATCATTTAAAGAAATGGGATCCTAATTCTGCAGCAACAATTTCAGCTGTTTGCTTAAAAACAGATTTAACTATAGATAATGTCAATTTCGATTTTTGCGTATGGGATACTGCTGGTCAAGAGAAGTTTCGTAGCATTTGTCCCATTTATTATCGATATGCTCATGTGGCATTAATAGTATTTGATCTTACTTCAAGTAGTACTTTCGAAATGGTTAAGTTTTGGGTAAAGGAACTTCGATCCCAAGGACCAATAGGTATTCCTATTGTAATTTTGGCTAATAAATACGATAGAAAAGATGAAGTGGAAACATATCCACAAGAAAATGATCTAATAGAATATAAAAACTCTATAGGAGCAGATTGCTTTTATATGTCTGCACTTACAGGCTACAATGTCGATGAAGCATTTTTGCATGCAGCAAAAATCGGTTTGAAATTCTATCAAGAGCAGCAATTAGTATCGATGCCGCAACCTCCTAAGTCTTCTACTCTTGAAAGCACAAATCAAGCTGCTCCACAACAAGAAAAAGCCTGCTGTTAGTATAAATTTTCCTTTATGTAATAAAATAGTACTGTTTTGATTTCATATTAAAGTTATCTATTGATTTTTTACTTTATACAAAACAATATGAGCTCATGTTGCCTAAAAATTTAGAAAATTAAAATCTGAATAACCCATGATTTTAATTGAAGAAAATTTTGAGTTAAATCTTTTCCAATATCTAATTTCCAAAATGGTTGGAAAAATTCACATTTTCAAGAATGGGCAAAGGAAAAGGTAAACAAAAGGGGCATGACAAACAAAATCAAGGAAAGCAGAAAGGAAAGAAAGATCAGAAAGAACAGCAGAAAGGAAATAAAAACTCTGGATACATTAGTTCCTGCAAAGAATTTAAATTTATTAATGAAGAAAGAGTTAGAAACTTTTTCAACAATAAAACTTGCATGAAAGCATTATCCTCGAAGAACCCACTATCTAAAAATGAAATTAAAAATCTCAAAAGTATACATCCATTAGTTAATTGGTATAACCCGACTAATCTATCACTTTGCTTAGTTTGTGGTCAAGCATTAGATGAAAAGCACTTTGCAGAGCATATGGAAGACAAGCATGTTCTTGCATTATCAATTAATGATCAAACAATTTATTGTACAAAATGCAACAGATACATACCAATCGAAAAAGGAACATTACTAGCCGAATTACTTAACATTGAACAGCCAGAAACGAAGCCAGTCGTCTCTGCAGCACCACTTAAATCCGGATTAATGGCTAGAGGCCTACATAACCTCGGAAACTCATGTTGGATGAATTCCTCGTTGCAATTACTAAGCAGACTACCTCTTCTCCCAGACGAGGTCAATGGTTCAAAGGCTCCTCTCGCTCAAGCCTTTAAATATTTGTCAACAGATCTTAAAAATTCTGGTCACGCGATTAAACCTGGCCAATTCGTTTCTGCCCTTCTTGCAAGGCTTCCTTTCTTATCTGTGACGGAGCAGCAAGATGCATACGAGTTCTTCACTCTATTCTTTGATTCATTACGCGATGAAATGGGCGGAAACGCAAAAGATTTGTCTGGAAATGATATCGAAAATGTAAAGAAAAGTGACACGACGACTACTGACAAAAGTGTCAGTTTTATATTAGATAGTGAGATGCGCTGTGAAACATGCAATTCTGTGACTCATATATATCAACGCACGACAGCTATTTCTCTTTGTGTTCCTTATGGAGCATCAACAACATTAGGAGAAGTTTTGGATTCATATTTCAGTGAATCATCATCAGGTGATGACTGGAAATGTGATACATGTGGAAATACAACAAGATGTGCTATTATTCCACATATTGCGACAACTCCACAGTTCTTAATTCTTCATTTGGCAAGGTTTAGATTTAGAAATAATGGTTTCATCAAAAATAACATAAAAGTGGAACTACCTCTTGAAATTTCTCTTGATAAATATGGAATTGATGAGAAATATAGCTTGTTTGGATTCGTTACTCACTATGGAACAATGGAAAGTGGACATTATACAAGTGTTTATCATGATAAAACTGGTTTTGTTTATTTCGATGATGAATCTGTGTCATCAATCGCTGAACAAGAAGCTTTGAATATACAACCATATATTATTATATATAAGTTAGATGTACATGCTTAAATATTATAAATAAACCTTTTGTATAATTTTAAATTTATACAATAAACATCTTGATTTAAAATAATGTAAAATTTGAAAGAACTCTCGAATATACTCATTGCAAACTCCAAAAAATGAATATGCAATCTCTTATTATATGGAAGGAAGTAGTCTAAGGAATTAGAAACCGTTTTTTTTGTCAATTTGCATGAATTTGCTGGGAAGTCATCTGAAGATGATGACCCATGGAGCAAATACTATAACATTCCATTTACAGGCCAAGAAATCAAATCATGCCAAAACTGCAATCCAGTATCCTTAAATGGTCAATATTACTTAGATGAGTGCATTTTTTTTCAAATTCTAAAAAAACGATAGGATGGCATTTTTTGACAAATTAATAAAATGTTCACCATAATTCTATCTTTAGAGGATGACAATATTTGGAATAGTTACTTCAAAAGTCAATTTACAGGCCAAGAAATCAAATCATGCCAAAACTGCAATCTTTCAGCAGGTAAAGGTCAATATTACTTAGATGAGTGCAATTTTTTTGATGATAATAACCGAGTTATCTACTTTGATCCAGTTAAAAACTCATTGTTCCTACATAACCGTTGTTCTTTTAGCAACTGCACTTCAGAAGAAAGTGGAAGTTGCATTAACTACCAAATTGGCAGTGATAGTTCGATTGTTCAACGAAAATTCTGTTGTACAAAATGCCAAAGTCAATATGGAGCACATTTTTCATATACAAAAGTTGACAAAGATAACTTAAACTTTTTTATTGAAAGTTCCCTTTTTGATGTAGGAAAAGAAAGATTTGGTTTATCTATTGAAGCAGAACGTGATAACATCATAGTTTCATCAACAAATTTCTCATCATGCAAAGCATCTTTGGGACCTGCTGGTTTTTTAAAAAGTCCTAATGTTAATTACACAACAAAATATAACTATACAACTATTGTTAATAATTTAGCAACAAGTAATGTGATTCTAAATATTTGGTATAACTCGTTGATTGATTCATGTAATATTATAAATAATACCAAAACAACATCAGCATTTGGAATTATTTACCATTATTATAATTCTCTTACTGTAAAAAGTTGTTCTTTTATTAACAACACTGTTCCTGAAGGTAAATATTTGATATATAACTCTTATGATCAATTAACAGTTGATAGTTGTTACATTGACAATTCGACTTCATCAACATTTTATAGAAATGTAGATACTAATCATCCAAAAGGACTATTTACTAACAAATTGATTCATCTTTCAACTGGTAATTGCCAAGCAGAATTTGCAATTATCAATAAAAGTATTTCAGAAGTTAATAGGCTTCCCATTATCATTATTTCTTTAGTAAACATTAAAAGGTCTACATAATCTATAATCTTACCAAAATACTTGCGATTATTTGTGTTATCCAATATTTGTGTAAAAAATTAAAATGAGGACTTCGGGTTATTAACAAAACTATTAATGCAAAAATATTATGAAAAATAGCATCCTCACAATTTGGTAAACCATATAAGAATGTTTTTTATTTATTTGCAAATCATAATAAAAAAAAATGATTTTAAAGTTATCGAAAATTGTTACATATTTATTTTTACACAAAATAGTCAAATAAAACCATTGTCAATTAATTAATTTGAGGTGGGCAAGCAAGAGAAGCTACGTAAGAGAAATCAGCAATTCTCTGTATTGGTGTCGGTGCAACCGATCCAACAGAGTCCATTGCTGGTTCTGCAGTAAATTCTTGGTCGAAATTGGAAACATCTTTCTTGCTCTTAATCGGAGGTTTGTAAGAAGGAACATATGACTTTGTGAGTACTTTATCCCAATCAATTCCGTTGAAGAAAGGATGTTTGATGATATCTTCGTATGCGTAACGTTTTCTGTCTCTCTTTTGAAGGAGACCTGTAATTAAACTGCAAACATCTGGATCTGCGCCCTTTGGAAAGACAACAGGATCCATTAATATCCTTGTAAACATTCTCGAGGTATTTTGATGGAAGAATGGCGTTGTTTGGAAGAGCATCTCGTAAAGTAATATGCCAAGTGTCCACCAGTCAACAGCTGGCCCGTAATTAACGCGAGATATAACTTCTGGAGCCAAATATTCGTTTGTTCCGCAGAAAGTCTTTGTTACTTCGGACTGTGATAAGTCCTTTGCAAATCCGAAGTCGGTAAGCTTAATATGGCCGTCTTGAGCGAGTAATATGTTTTCCGGCTTCAAATCTCGATAAATTATGTCATTTTGATGGAGGAAGTGAAGAGCTGTGACTATTTCGGCTGCGTATATCCTTGCATCTTCAAGAGGAACAGCTCCATTCGTCGACATATAGTTAAACATTTCTCCGCCGGGAACGTACTCCAAAACTAAGTAGAATTTGGTTGCATTCTGAAATGCATAGAAAAGTTTGACAATGAACGGATTTGAAGCATTAATTAAAGTATTTCTTTCAGAAAGCATTGTATGGACTTTTCCTGCAAGCGCAAGGCGTTTCTTGTGAACAGATTTGATGGCGAAAAGTTCTCCTGAGTCTATCTTCTCGGCCAACATAACTTTTCCGTAATTTCCACGGCCTAAGACGGAGAGGACTTTAAACGACTCAATTGTGAGAGACTGGTGTGTGTATGTGCAAGATCTTAACGCGTGGATCCATTGGAGCAACGATTCCGTGGATGGAGCTCTGAAATATAATGGTTCAGTGCTGCCTTCTGTTTCGATTGAAAATTTGCATGAATCAATAGATTCCATTTGAATTTTTGTGGTTTCTTGGACGTTTAATGTTAGTTCTTTGGCATTAAGTGTATCATCTCTGAATAAACGAAATTCAGAGCCTTGAAGTGTGGCCCATTTCTTTGTATAGATTCCGATTTTTCCCTTTTTATCAAGATATCCGGATAGAGGCTCAGATTTGTCAGCGCTCATTCGAAATTTGAAAAATCGCTTTACAATAGAACGATTAGGTACAATTGAATTTCATGACGGCATTTTTAAAAAATCATATTTTATGGAACAAGGGCTTAATAAAATAATAATATTTGGGATACCGATAGAACCATTGAAAACTGTCAAATTGAAAACTCGGTAGAAAATTCAATTTTGGGTAAAGAAAAAAAAAAAAAAAAAAAAAAAAAGTATTGGGGCTTCCAGGGCTGCGCCCCTCTAGCCCCCTGAAGATGTTTAGTATAACATGCAGTTTATATAAAATGAGGTTTTTTTTGGTGTGTGGGGGCTTCCAGGCACTTCGTGCCTTCTAGCCCCTAAAATTTTTTGAAAGTCGTTGCTGTTGACTTGTTTGTAGAGAACTCAAAATAGTAGAACTATGTCCGGACAAGTAAGGGTCTATCGTCGCTACAGAAAAGTTACGGGCGTTCAAAGAAGTATACTTTGAGAAGCCTTTTCTTCCTTATAGAATGAGATAGGATGGTTATTTTACAAAACCGACAAGACCTTAACCGAGTAGTTTTCATGTTTTGTCACTTTTCTGTCACTTTTCAGGAAAAAACATTTTTATTATATATATAAAATGAATTTTACAAAACCACCGTTACCCTTCTTTGGAAATAAGAGTAGATGTAAAGATATTCTATTGAGAGAACTTAAGAAACTACCGAATGGTCTAACATTTGTAGATTTGTTCGGTGGAAGTTTCTATATATCTCATTTGTGCCATACAATATTTCCTGACTCAAAGATTATATGCAATGACTTCGACAACTATACGAACCGTCTCAAACATATACCAGACACAAACAAAATATTGAAAGAGTTAAAAGAAAAGATACCTATAGGTAAGATGGAACGTATACCATTAGATAAGAAAAATACTGTCAGAGAGGTTTTGAAAAAAGCAGAGTATATAGACTGGGATAGTATATCTTCTAGACTATTGTATAGTGGTTCTATAAGAGTTCATGACATTGAAACACTTATGTCAAACGTTTTATATCTTAACTATACAAAGGTTTTCAAAGAGGACATAGAAAAATATACTGAGGGTATAGAGTTTGTGAGATGTCGTTGGACAGAGTTGTATGAAAAATATAAAAACAAGGAAAATGTTTTCTTTATAGTAGACCCGCCGTTCTATAACACATACGATTTTCAATACCAAGTAGACTGGACTTTGAGAGACTCTTTAGAAACTTTAGACGTTTTACATAACCATCCATGCTTTTACTTTACATCCGATAAAAGTGGTTTGGAAAGTGTCATGAGATGGTTAGAGGACATACATGAGTATGATTTTAGATATGACAAGATAGAATATGAGAGAGGTCCTATAAACCGGAAAAAGTGTCACAACAAAGAAATTTTATTGGTAAGTAAATGTGGTTTGAAATAGGACTACTTGTTTTAGGTTTTTTCCATTGTGTCATTTACTTATTTGACGTGGCAGAAAGATATAGAGAATATGAAGATGAACCACTGCCAGCAAATGTTCAGCATATGTACTCGTAAGAGATATTTTTATCTAATATTAAATGGACGCACAGAACTTAGCGAATGCACAGCAACCTGGACAACCAAACCCAGAGAATATTCCAAATGAAGTTAGAATACAAACTGCAATGGCAAACTATGGTCAAGTGCCAACAGATGTACAAATGCAAACTGCCATGTCAAATGACGCTGCGTTAGGTTTGCCACCATGGTATGCAAATGTGAGATGGAAAGAGTTTTATACAAACCCTGAAGTGGGATATAAACAACTCTATGCAGATGACGCGAACACAGGAGTTGACCCAGAGTATGTTTTCTACCAGAGGAGAAATAGAATGTATGAGCTCCAGTTAAAAAATGCTATGGAACTCAACAGGAAACGTAAGAGACTAGGCGGACATTAGATTTTTACATATAGTAAAATGGGTTTCTTCAGTAGTATTGGAAACTTCTTCAGAAGAGTTGGAAGAGGTATATGGAATGGAATAAAATCTGTCGGAAGAGGAATTTGGAACGGTGTCAAAAATATTGGTAAAAGAGTAGGTCAGTTTGTTGGTATTATACCTAAAGACCCTGAACCAGAAGAACAAGCTCCTGTTATACAACAGCCTGAACCTGCACCACAGTCTAGTTGGCAACCAAATCCAACACCTCAACCGTATTAAAATTATATTTTTACCGTTCGATAGTAGTTGTATATGAAGCTAAGTTCTAAGTAAAACGCATGGTATAATGGAATTATTCTCTTTCTTCCATCTGTAGTAAACCATACTTGAAAGTCTGAAATACTTCCACTCGGTGGTTCATATAGCTTTGTAGGTTTTTCGTAAAAGTCATTTGCCAAGCATAAAAAAGAGTTTTGTGCGCCAGAAAATGAAGCATGAACGATAATAGCATCTGAGTCGAAAACATTTTCATATGTTCCATTAGGGTTTTCGACTTCATAAAAGTTCGGGTGTACTGGATATTCTGCAGGCTGATTTAACATCCTCAAAAATCTATACCATGCCAAGTTGTTATATTTTGTAGAAATATAAACGTCTTCTCCAAGGTCTTCTATTCTATTGATTTTAACAGTTGCATTTTTCCTGTCATATATAATATCGAGATGGTACTCTCCTTCGTCAATGTTAAACTGGTTTGCATATTCGAGATAGATATCGTTTATTTTTTCTTGAAAAGCTTGAAGAGTTGTTTCTAAGTTTACAAGCAAATTCACTTGTAAAAGTTTTCCCTGTTCAAATTTCTCATACGTACGTTTCTCTTTGTTATAGTATCGAATTTCAAAAGCGACCGTAAATGGGAAACCATGTATGGCTTCTGAAATGAACTTCATTCTACGAAAGCCAACAGCTTTTGTGACGGATGGGTCTCTTAACCATCTTAAGGGGTAGTCAAAACGATAGCCTTCATGCTTTACGGTATCTGTCTCAAACTTTTGACCGACATTCGTAAAAAGTTCATCTAATGGTTTAGTTGTAGCAACTCTTGAATTTTCTTTTCTATTGAAAGCATATTTTATCTAGAATAAAAATGTCGAAAGAAACAGCGTCTATGAGAGAAATACAACACAACCGACAACTCATTTTGCAAGCTCTAAATAAGAACACAACAAACTTTTCAAACTATTCTAAGATATCTGAGTCATTGAAAGAAGGAAACTTAAAACTGACGATAAACCCAATGACAGACGAGTTTCTGTTTCAAGACAGTAAGAACCATACTGTCTGTGTAAATCCAACAAAAGGAACTTTAAACGAGAAACCTATAGATGAACTTCTTTTGAAAGCAGATATTGACAACAAAGCTGACAAAGAGTATGTCATTGAAAAAGTTCAAGAAGAACATGACAGAGCAGATGCAACATATGCAACGAAAGAACATACTCATCCTGAACTAGCAGACAAAACATATGTTGACAATAAAATGTCAAGTGAAGTGACAAGAGCTGACAAAGAATATTCTAAAAAGACTCATACACATACCATTGCAAATATTACAAACTTACAAGAAACCTTAAACAGGAAAAGTGACGTTGGACATACACATACCATTGCAAATATTACAAACTTACAAGAAACCTTAAACAGGAAAAGTGACGTTGGACATACACATACCATTGCAAATATTACAAACTTACAAGAAACCTTAAACAGGAAAAGTGACGTTGGACATACACATGATTTCTTCGCAACTGTTGGTATAGAAAATATTGCAGGAACGGTTGAAGAACCTGATGGAACTGGTGGGGATGTATTAAATTGGAAACCTCCTAACTTTCCACAAGGTTTAACATCGGAGGATGACATAACGACGATGAAATACATTAGATGTAGAAATGTCTATGTCATGGAGGATGAAAACAATGTTAAATTCACTGCTCAAGATTTATATGATAAAAAAGCAGACAAAACATATGTTAACGATGAGTTAGATAAAAAAGCTGACAAAACATATGTTAACGATGAGTTAGATAAAAAAGCTGACAAAACAGAGCTTCAAACGTTAAAGACAGAAATACTTCAAACACTATATCCTATAGGTTCTATTTACACGTCAATGAACTCTACCAGACCAGAAGTAGTACTTGGTCTCGGAACTTGGACTCAAATAGTCGACAGGTTTTTGTATTGTGCAAACTCTTCAAAGGAAACAGGTGGAAGTAAAACGATTTCAGGTGCAAATTTACCTGCGCACAGTCACTACATAGATTTAAGTACAACTAACGCAGGTTGGCATAGTCATAGATATTGGGATTGGTCATCAATGACAAAAGGTAAAGGATATGATGTTAAAAACAACGTTAAGTTTGCTATAGATTGTTACTGGAGTAACACTGAGGGAGGAGGAAACCATATACATCGCGTTTCAGGATATACACAAACAACGGGACAAAGTAAAGACTACATGCCACCTTACATGACAGTTTACGCATGGTATAGAAATGCTTAGTCGTCATTTTCAACTTCTTTAGCATATTCGTCAGGAGTTGTCTTATATTTGTTAGGAACTGTCTTTGAAAGTATACCACCTTGAACCTTAACAAGTTTGAAACGAGGTCTGACAATAGTAGTTTTATCTTCTGCTTGCAGTCTGTACATTTTGCCATGTTTGCCTAAAACTTCATAATATTCTCTTGTATACTTTCTTCTATTTTTACGAACACGAATGTGAGTACCTGTCGAGTTCCCATTGTTGTCATAGTCAATAGTATTTTCATATGGGTCGCGTTTAGGTATTTCTATTTTTACTTTGTCACCTTTCTTAAGTTTGAAGCCTGGCATTCTTTCTTGTTTGTCTCTTTTGACTAAATTATTAAATATATAGTCTTTCTCTAAGTCAGGGTTGTTTTTCATTTCTTCGGGGGAGTGGTTTCCCAAACCTTTTTGTTTACGGCTATTGTAAATATTTAAAACTTGTCTCATCTTTGCCATGGAGAAGTGTCTGTACTTGTCGTCATATGACATTTCATCTACCTCACC